AGCGCGAGCGCGAGCCCGCCGGCGGCTGGCGTCCGAAGGAGCCGCCCCTCGGGCCCCCAGGACAGTCCCCCAGGGGCCTGCGGGGGTACCCTGAGCTGGGCACAGTTGCTTCCATCCATCTGAACTCAGAAAAGCTTTCAGCCCCCAAACCTCCAGCTGGTAACTTCTGCAGCTGGAGACGCAACCGCACGGCCTCTTGGAAACGTTACTGTATCGGGTGCTCCTGCCCCTGCAGAGCTTCAACTTGACACTGTGTCCATTGGTTCTTTCTTGTAGGTGATGGAAACGTTTAAGGAAGGGAGAAGAGAAGCTGCCGTCTCTGGGGGGAATTTTTTTTTTTAGCCCTACTTTAAAAGACAAAGCCGGTGTTTACTAATGAATTAATGACCCATTAATATATACCACAATGTGTCGGAAGTGTATTTTCAAATAATACCTACAATGTGCAAAGCACAGTGCTAACAACTTTGGGGTATCACAAAGAAATGACGTAATTGGTTTTGGTAAGTGGAAGGAGTCTATCTCCGAAAAAACGTAACTCGAAGGTAAACTTCACCGAGAGGTTCCCACTGGCCTAGGGACACCAGTTTGACAGACTGTCTTACCTCCTTACCGCAGAATATGTGATTTAAATAGAACCTTTAGCCCTGGCCGGGTAGTTCAGTTGGTTAGAACGTCGTCTGTATCCGCCAAGGTTTCGGGTTCAATCCCTGGTCAGGGCACATACAAGCAGCAACCAATGCATGCATAAGGAAGTGGAACAACAAATCTATGTTTCTCTCTCCCTCTTTAAAATCAATTTTTTTAAAAAAGGTTGCGAGTGTCTGAATCTATTCCATTTCAGCGTTTCACTTAATTCCACCAATCCATCTCTCTCGGAGCAAACACTCCTATCTTTAAAAAAAAAGGGCGGGGGGGGTATATGTATATTTACCACAATTTAAAATTTTTAAAGAAAGAATTTTTAAGTTAATAGGTGATCTGTACAGGATTCCTGAAATCTAGAGTTTTCGCCTTAGCTGCTAGTTGGCTCCAACTCTCCCTGCAAATGTGCCCATTTCATCATTCTCCTGGCCTCCTACTATTTCAGAGGCCGGAAACCATCCTTGGCTCTATCCATTCCCACTCTTCCCACACTTGGACATTTACCAAACCTTGACCTCTTCAAGCTGTCAGTTGCATCTGTTCCTTCCCATAGCCAATACCTTAGCTTACCCTTTGTCATCTTATTTTTCTTTATACCTAATCTTACCTCGCTCCACCAGATTCTAAGTCCTACTAGATACGGACCATGTTATGCATTTTCAGAATGAGTTTTAAGTCAGACCTTTCATTCTGATTTAACTGTTACTCTCTAAACCTTTGTCAATTTACTTAACCCTCTCTGAGTGTTGATTCATTCCGTTGAAAATGAGAATTAAATAAGATTATCCATCAATAAGTATGCACAGTGTATCTATTGTGGACCAAGTACCAGTTTGAGTGAAAAAGACAGGTAAAGGTCCTCCTACAGTTCTTCTAGTCCAGTGGGTGTGTCAGCCATGCAATAAGTGACCAAAAGTTAACCTGTGTACCAGCTTGAGCTTGATGCTAAAATTAGCATGAAATATTTGGAGGGCTTGGGAGAAGGCAATTGTATTTTGCATATAAAAGGAATGAATGTGTAGCCCTGACTGGGTAGCTCAGTTGGTTAGAGCATCAGGAGATGCTCAACCCAAGGTTTTGAGTTCAATCCTTGGTCAGGACTCGTACAAGAATCAACCAATGCACGAATAAATAAGCAGAACAACAAATCGATGCTTCTATCTGTATTTTATCTCCCTCTTCTTTGTAAAATCAATCAATAAAAAAAAATTTAAATAAAAAAATAATAAAAGGAATGAATGTAAACAGTTTGTGGCCAGAAGGAAAACTGTGCCTAATTAAGATGCACAAATTCTTGGGACACTCCTATTGCGACACGGGGTCTGTTTCTCCTCCTGAATCTGGGTGGGTTTTGTGATTTCACCAACGAATGGAATATGGGAGGGCCAGCTTCAGGCCCAGGTGTGAGGAAACCGGGGGCTTCTACTTCCTGTCTCCTGGAACACCTTACTCCTGGAACCCAGGTGCCAGGCTGGGAGGCAGAACCGGCAGCCCCATGCAGAGGCCCACCTACCCCACCCCAGGCTGCCAGCACCAGCCAGTCTTGGCAGCCCTTTGACGAAGCCATTTGGGAAGCAATCCCCCAGGCCCAGTGGAGCACTTAGCCAACCGCCTGAGGGCTACTAGGGCAGCTGGGCCAACACACACACACATACCCCCAGAGCTGGGAGTGTCTGAGAATTTACTCTCTCCTAGGTAGCGTTTTGGTTTTTTTTGGCTGATGACTGACTGCTACGGATATATAAAAAATCAGCTCCCTTAAGTTTTTGGAACAACAATGGGGTATAATTTATACTCCACCTGCTGGAGCTAAAGCCAAAAATTCTGACCCTGTGCCTCTGCTCTCTTTCCCCTATAACCTCTTCAGAATAAGAAAGAGTGAAGAATATTGTTTTTGGCCTCTTAAAAGTCTGTCCTCTGCCCCTCTTATATGGCTGCCATAGGTTTTTGTTTGTTTGTTTTTGTTAATCTTCACCCGGGGATATTTTTTCCCACTGAATTTTAGAGAGCGGAAGGGAGGGAGGGAAGGGGCGAGAGAACAATGACGTGAGACGCACACATGGATTGCTTCACTCCAACCCGTGACCCTTCGGTGCTGGGGCCTACCTTCCAACCACTGAGGTCAGCCAGGGCTGCAGGGTAGGTTTTAACAACGACCCTGACATTGCCGGCAGGCTCGGACTCTCGTTTCCAGGAGTCACCTGCTTTCCTGCAGGTGGAAAGGGAGCCTCCCTTCCCCAAACCACCGATCCTGTAAGCCTATGCAGGAAATACCAGAGTGGTGTTTGATGGCACCCGAGTTCAGAACCCACTGATGCACAACGAAGGCAGAACATGTTACGGAAAAAAAAAAAAAATAGCCAGGCGAAAGAGAAGATAGCGTATGATTTCACTTAAAATTCTAGGCACTTCAGTGGCCCGATTCCTATCGAGCCATTACTCCCCCATCAGCGTATTTCCTGGCTCGTGTCAACTGGGATGTTTACTAACAAGCCCCCACTTCACTAGGTGTACTCTCCTTCTATAGACATTCGGGCTATTCTCTGCCGATAAAAACGGCCGAGTCCATTACCACCCGCAGAAAAACCTAAGTGCCTTTTGTAGCCGCCTTTTCACGCCCAAACACGAGGCTTCTCTAGCTTATGAGTAGCTTTTGAGAGAGAAGACAGATTCTGACTCACTTTCACTCCCCGCCCCCACCTCCTCCCGCCCTCTCTGGCCCCATTTCGGTGCCTCGCCCAGTGTTTACCACTCATTCCGCACCCGCAGAATGTAAGAAACTCGAGAAGGAACGAAAAAAACGCATCTAACAAATGCCTGGGGCCTCCAGGGATAGGAGCGCTTTTAATGCTTGGGAAGCTGTTATCTCGATCTTCCAGTTTAATAAATCCAGGCTGGAACAAGACCTCGGGTCGGACAAGAAGACCTTGCACCGTAACCACGAGGAGGCGTGAGGTCCTGGCCACCATCCTTCCCGGAGAATCGGAAAACCGTGAACTCAAGGAGGCGCGGATCCTCCGCAGGACTGAGAGTCACGAATTTGCAAGCAGACAGCCACGCGAACTCCCTCTTTCTCGGCTTTCCAGAGGAGAAGCCGGGGCCCCCGTCTACGCCCTAAAACATTCCAGTTGGACCGACAACGCCCGCTGACTCCCGAACTCCCGGGGGAAACCGAAGAGTCGGGACCAGCCAGGCGCCGCAGCGACCGGCGCGCGCACGGAACGCGCGGCGGAAGTAGAGAGAGGAATCGCCGGCCCACCTGGGCGCCTCTGATTGGCTGCCGGCGAAGCTTGGAACTCTGGGGCCTGTGGCGTCACATCCGGCGGGCCGCCATCTTGTTCCCAGGAGCAGTTGGCGGAAGAGATCGCGCTCGCTGGCCGCCGGCTCGCCTTCTGCCGGGAGTTCTCGCGGCCAGCGTCTCGGCGTCTGCTCTCGACCCAGAGTCCCTTTGTCGGCGTCCTCGTCGCCCTCCCTCACCCGGCGGGGGCACAGCGAGGCGGCCCCCCTCTCCCGACGGCGTTCCATGGAGTAGGGTCCCGGACCGTTGTCCCGAAGAGCGAGCGAGCTTGGCCCCCTCCCCCCTCCTTCCTCCCTCCTTCCTTCCGCCGCAACATGGCTAACAACAGCCCCGCGCTGACAGGCAACTCGCAGCCGCAGCACCAGGCGGCCGCGGCCGCGGCCCAGCAGCAGCAGCAGT